ACAAACTAACAGGCTTTAACAACAGAAGCCACTGATAACACCAGTAGAAGCAAAGAAGTCCACGAAGGAGTTCAGAATGTACAGTTAAATTGATCTGTTAATTAAAGGACAGTTCAAGGAGTGAAATCAAAGAAAAAATACAGGAAGTGAAAGATCACTTCAATAAAGAATAGAGATTGTGGGGAAAAAAACAAGCAGAAATCTTCGAAATTAAGGAATCAATAAACCAAATTACAAATTCAATAGAAAGCATCACCAAAGAGTAGACCACTTGGAAGACAGAACCTCAGACTATGAAGAAAAATACATAATCTTGAAAACAGAGTTGACCATGCAGAGAAGATGATAAGAAACCATGAACAGAACATCCAAAAATTGTGGGATAACATGAAAAGACCAAATTTAAGAGTTATTGGAATAAATAAAGGGGCAGAGATGCAAACCAAAGGAATGCACGATTTTTTCAATGATATAAGAGCAGAAAATTTCCCAAACCTAAGGAATAGAATGGAAAAATCAAATATAAGAGGCTTACAGGACCCCAAATGTACAAAATGATAGCAGACCCATACCAAGACTCATTATAATGAGAATGACTAACACAGAGAATAAAGATAAAATCTAAAGGGCTGTAAGAGAAAAATATAAAATTAAAATTTCTTATAGGGGAAATTCAATTCAGATCTCAATGGATTTCTAAACCCAGACTCTCGAAGCTAGGAGGTACTGGAATAATATATTTCAAGCTCTGAAAGAAAATGGATGCCAACTAAGAATTTTATATCCAGAAAAATTAAGTTTCAGATTTGAAGATTAAATTAAAACCTTCCATGATAAATAAAAATTAAAAGAATTCACAACCAGAAATCCTGCACTACAAAACATTCTCAACAAAATAATCCATGAGGATGAAGTGAAAAAAAAAAAAGTGAAAACCAGAGAAGTGAGAATCTACATTAAAAAAATATTCAACCAAAGGAGAAATAAGTTAAATTGAAAATCATAAATAAGTCAAAATGACAGGGAATACAAATCATATCTCAATAAATAACCTTGAATGTTAATGACCTAAACTCATCAATCAAAAGACATACTAGTAGATGGGATTAAAAAGCAAGGCCCAACAATAGGCTGTCATCAAGAGGCTCACTCCATGGGCAAAGACATCCACAGGCTGAAGGTGAAAGGATGGGAAAAACATATCACTCACATGGACTGTCTAATCAAGCAGAGGTTTCCATCCTCATTTCAGATAAAGCAGGCTTCAAGCCAAAGTTGATCAGAAGAGACAAAGAAGAACATTTCATACTTAAGGGAACCATACAGCAACAAGACATAACAACTATAAATATTTATGCCTGACACAATGGAGCATCTGCACACATCAAACAAACCCTTCTCAATTTTAAGAATCAAATAGACCACAATACAATAATACCGAGTGCCTTTTACAACCCTCTCTCACTGAGGGACAGATCTTCCAAACAAAAACTAAATAAAGAAACTATACAACTAAATAATACAATCAATAATTTAGACTTAACAGACATATATAGAATATTTCATACATCAATAAGTGAATATACTTTCTTCTCAGCAGCATATGACTCCTTCTCTAAAATATAGACCATATCATAAGCCACAAAGCAACTCTTAGTAAATACAAAAAAAAAAAAAAACAGAGAGAATAACCTGCATTCTATCAGATCACAATGGAATGAAATTAGAAATCAACGATAAAGTAAAAAGTACTCTATTGAATGATGAATGGATAGTAGAAGAAATCAAGGACAAAATAAAAAATTCTTAGAGGGAAATGAGGCCTAGGATCTGACCTAAAGAAGACCCCTAAAGTATAAGAAGTAAAATCAAGGATCAATAAATGGGATGGATTCAAATTAAAAAGCTTCTTCTCAGCAAAAGAAATAATCAGTAATGTGAGGAGAGAGCCTACAGATTGGGAGAAAATCTTTACCACATGCACCTCTGATAAACCATTAATCTCTAGGATATATAAAGAACCCAAAAAACTTAACACCAAAAAAACAACTAACCCAGTCAATAAATGGGCTAAGGAACTGGACACTTCACCAAAGAAGAAATATAACCAATCAACAAATATATGAAAAAGTGTTCAACATCTCTGGAAATTAGAGAAATGCAAATCAAAACTACACTAAGATTTTATCTCACTCCTGTCAGAATGACAATCATTAAGAATATAGGCAACAATAAATGTTAGCAAGAATGTGGAGAAAAAGGTAGACTCATACATTGCTGATGGGACTGCAAATTGGTGCAACCACTATGGAAAGCAGTATGGAGATTCCTCAGAAAACTGGAATGGAATCATCATTTGACCCAGCTATCCCCCACTCAGTGTATATCCAAAGGACTTAAAAATCAGCATGCAACCATGTCAATATTTATAGTAGCTCAATTCACAATAGCTAAACTATGGAATCAACATAGGTGTCCTTCAATAGATGAATGGATGAAAAAAATGTGGTACATATATTCAATGGAATATTACTCAACTTTAAAGAAGAATGTAATTATGGCATTTGCCAGTAAATGGATGAAGCTGGAGAATATCATGCAAAGTGAATAAGCCAATCCAAAAAACCAAAGGCCCAATGTTTTCTCTAATATGCAGATACTAATTCACAATAAGGGGGGGTGGACACTAGAGAAGAATAGATACCTTAGATTAGATAGAGGGAAGTGAAGGGAGAGGAAAGGAGGGAATGTGGGGATAGGAAAGACAGAACAAAACAGACATTATTACTTTAAGTACATATGTGACTGCATGACCAATGTTTCTACAACATGTATACTCAGAAAAATGAGAATTATATCCCACTATATGATATATCAAAATAAATGCATTTTATTGTCATGTATAAATAATTAAATAAAAAGGGAAAAAATAAAATCAGACTTCTTCAGAAATAATTTACAATAAAATGCACATTTGAATATAAAAATTGAGATCTTATTTATGTTGCATTAATTTTCCTTACCTAGAGAAATGTGCTTGTATATAAGTATATACACACATATATACACACATGAAATACACACTTATTTGCATATATATATATATACACCCACACACATTTAAGAAATATTAGTGTAATAAGGTTTGTGTGTGTGAATAAACATATTCGTGTGTGTGAATAAACATATTCGTGTGTATATGTAAATACATAAATACATACACATATCCATACCTCTCCCTAGGTAAGAAAAATGAGTGTAACAAGTTGCATGTATGTGTGTATACACACGTATGTATGTTAATATATAAATATATACACATACACATACTACTCCATAGATACGAAAAATGGGTACAACTTGAGATTCCAGGACTTTTTCATGGATTATTAGACATTTGTATTGCTATCACTTCCTTTAAAAAATGCTATTAACTTTGCTTTTGCTGATATTGGGATGCTACATCACAGAGGAAAGAATATGAATGCTAAAAAAAAAAAAAAAAAAAACCTAAAAAAAAATGCAGCTTGTGTTGTCAACCTGGCTTCCCTATTCCAGTTAGGGAAAATATCGTCACAGAATCTCACTGTTCTTCTTGGAAAAATAATAATAAATTCACCAACTTGACATATTTGCTCTGACAACTAAAGAAAATGAAAAAGGTCACACCCAGCCTGCTACCTGGCACATGTGGTAAGTTCTCCATAAATGTGTTAGCCATCATAGATGTTAGTTCCATATAATTATACACCTCAAAATCTATAAATTATTTAAGTATTGCCTAAATAATTAATAAACTATTAATTATGCAACAAGATTTTAAGGTTTATATCTTTTCAACCAACATGTCTACTTGTAGGAAACTAGCCAGAGGAAAGGATTAGAAAGAGCAAATATTTATGTACAAATACATTCTATAAAATTTTATTTTTAATATTAAAAAAGTAGGAACAACCTAGGTATTCAAATAGTATACTACATCCATATTTATATTTAATTGTTTATATTAAATAAACAAATTAAAATATTCATAAAGACTTAAGGTAAAAAATGCCCACAAAAATTAAAGCAACAGCCTATCGATCTACATATCCACCATATTAACAATTACATTCATGTGTCTCGATGTACCCCTGTATACACACACACAATACAGAAGAAAAGGATTTGAAGGAAATGCATTAAAATACTAATAATGGCCACCTATAGATGACAGAAAAGTTAAATTTTATTTATTTTTATTTTTTATTTTCCACTTTTTAAATTACATAAATCATTTTGATGCTTAGAAAACAAAATGGAAAAAAATCATTCAATTCTGTATGTTATTTACATACTCTAATTTAATAAGGATGATTTTTTTAATTATTCCCCATCTCACTTCCAAAAAAAAAATCTGGGATAGCTGATAGAAACACATACAACAGATTAAAATAAACAGATGAAGGAATTGAGATTAAAAGAAAAGAACCTTTCCAATTCTCACAGCATATACACATATATTTACATATATATACATGGGTGCACCCACACACTACAGACACACATATTTCTCAAGAAGCTTTTTTAGATACTGAGAAGTGAAGGCAGTTTTTCCACCTGTCTTAGGAAGAGTATGATACAGGTATGGTAGACATTGTTTTAAATTAAACATTAGGAGTGCTATTTAAGTAAATTCTGTGAATCACAGTTAAGTGATTAGAAAGACAGAAGGAAAATTAAGTCAAGGAATCAAGACCTATTAACAGGAGTGAGCAGGACCATGATCAGCAACTCAAGAAACACCTTCTAAAAATGTACAAAGATAAAGACAGATTTGGACAGGTTTCCCCTTATAACCTGTCATCACTATTTACATACCTTCAAAGAAAAAGTAAATTGAAATATTAAAATGATACTTTAATTTCATCACGTAAAATACAGGAAGAAAAAATATTAGTGAAACAAACTGTTCGATTACCAAAATATACTGGAGCTACTGTATTCAATGGAACACTTACCTTCACTGACAGCATGGGGCTTAATGATACAACAGGTACAACTGGTAAACTTTGCAGTGTTTGCTGGCCCACAACCTCCACTTGAAGGGAAAAATAACTCCATTTCCTAAAGACAGAGAAAAGACTGTGACCCATAGGACCTCTTCTCTCTAACTTACAGGATATTTCTGGGTGGGGGTAGATTATGCAATTACTTTCAAAGTTTCATAATATAAATTCTTTGTTTCCAAGTTTCTAAATGTGAGTTTTATAAACAGTAACTGATTAACTTAACCCTGTTCAAAGCTTATTATCAAAAGAACATATAAAGAAGTAGTAAAGCATAGATTAGGGATCATTCTGTTTCTGATTATAACTGACAAGATCTTAAATTTTGGATATTGCAAGTAATAACTGTGAAGTTCTTATTTTCCCAAGGGCATAGTTCATAAGACACAGATCTAATTTTAATTTTCATTAAAATATGTAAAATAAAATTAAAAACAAGGAAATTTTTTTAGAAATAGAGATTAACATTCAGGAGTCTGAGAACTACAGTTGGTTAAAACTAATTTAGGATAGTTCTAGCACAAGTCAAATGAAGTGAACCATGTTTTAAAGCTCAATTCAGGCTATCTTATTTGCTTTGTACATGATTTGTTAAAATGACAACCCAGGATTCTGAGTTAGCCACACAGATGGTACATTAATTAGGTCTTTTAATTACTTAGATGCTTTCCTGCCTTTATGTTTTGTTACTATTATTTTCACTATTCCCTATCAAGCTCCAAGACCCTAGTAATATAGAAAGGGCCACTTTAAATACCATTTCCTCTAGGAGGCTTTTCCTGAAGCCCCTGACTGGGGCATCTGTTCTACCTCAAAGTTGTGATTTGCCTCTACAAATTATAAATTTTAAGACTGGAACTAATTTGCATATCTTTGTAGGCACCAAAGTAACTAAAACAATGCATGGCTCAAAAAAAAATTCACTTTTTAAACTGAACTCAAAATTGAAAGATCACAAGATATGCCACTCTAATGACGTTTTTTTAATAAAAGAGTAAGAGGATGTGTTCAAACAGTATACAGGCTTGAGCTGTTCCAGTGGTGAGACAGCTTAGAAACATAGCTGATAGAAACACATACAACGCATTAAAATAAAAAATATTCTGTTCCTTAGACACTGAGTTCCTCTTTATCATATTGCTGCCTCTGCCACTCTTCTGGATCAATAACATTATCAATTACCACTTTTTGTCCTGCACAAGATCTTTGGATCACACAATATTAGAGAACCCTATGGTACAAATAAGAACTGAAATACCTCAAGGGGCCTAGCAGGTAATCACTGGAGGAATAAAGTGGAACTGGTGGGACAAGAAAGCATGGGAGAACTGTAAAAGAGAAAGTGTGTGTTTTCCAAAGCTCCCACTTCTCTGCTATCTTCACCACAAAACTCAGAAGAGATGGCTTTACTCCAGTCTCTCTTAAACCCTCAATCAATTAGGTTTTTATTTCACCAAAATTGCTCATGGAAATCTCTCACCACATCCATGTTACCAAGTCTGCAGGTTAATTTTCAGAACTGACCCTTTTGACCCAACAGTATTTGACTCAGTTGATCATTCCCAAATCCTGGAATGCTTCCTACCTCAAAGGTTACTTCTCTCAGTCTCCTTTGATGGATTCTCTTGTCTGTCTGATCTCTACATGTGGTAGAGTTCCAGGGAACAGTCTGTCTTCAATATACAGTCATTCTCCTAGTGATCTCATTGACTCCTACAACTTTAAATGCCATCTGTCATCTCTTGGCTCCCAATTTCTACTTCCAACCCAACCTCCTCCCTAAACTCCACACTCGTAACTGGAAATACCATTTAACAGACTTTCATCTTCAAAATATCCAAAACAGAGTTCATGCTTTCACTCCAATCTGTTCTTTTTCTGCCACACTGTTTTCCCTGTTCCCAAGTACATATACAGGAAAAGAAAAAATATTGATCCCTGACACCTTCCCCTTTTCTCACCCACCTATACAATCTTATCTGGAAATCCTTTAACATATATCAAGAACTGAACCACCTCCACTAGCTCTCCCAGTAAGCTCCTAATGTTCCCCACAACATCCCTATCCCCACCCTGCCTGCTTTCTTCTTAATACTCTAAGCAGAATGAAATCCAGATCTTGCCCTTCTTCAATACAGTGTCTCCATCCCCTCCCATCTCATTCAGAGGGAAGTCTAGTGTCCTAGACATCCTACAAGGCTCATATGATCTGCACCTCTTACCTAACCTCTAGCCATTTTGACCACTTTTGTTCCTGCAGTGGCATCATTAGCCTTGCCCCTGCATAGTTCTTTGAACACAGCAGATATGTTCCCATCTCAAAACTTTTGCATTTATTGTTGTCTTTCTTCCTAAAGTGTCCCTTCCCCAGATAATTTCATGGTTTTCTCCTCCATTTCCTTCATATCTCTCTCAAATTAGAGACTGTGAGGATTTCCTGCATTAGCTAGCACTCCACATCCTTACTCAACATAGTCTTTTTCCACCTAGTCTTTCGGTTCCCTTTCTCTTTATTTCCATCAAAGCACTTACCACCCAAAATGCTGTCTATTGACTTGTTTATTATCTGACACTCCCCATCAGAAGTGAGAGAAACTCAAAGCAGGCACTTAACTTTATTCACTAGTAGCCCTCAATAAATACTTTTGGAATGGAAGAAATTCAGAAACTTATAAGCTCTGCATTTGCCAAGTAAAATAAATATAGCCCCACAAAACAGAAGAAAAATGAGGCTCATTTTGAGTAACAAGGCCTTAAAAGTTAACAAGTGGCAAAGTCAAGATTCAAATCCATGTCATTATGACTCCAAAGCCCTGAACTTTTTCTATCATATCTAGTTCCAAAAGTGAAAAGCAATGCTACATTATTCTATTTAGTGTAACAAATTACTTAACAACTTGGTAAGTTGGCCAATTATTTCAACTCAAATTAATTCTAATTTATTTTCTTGTTCAATTTTTAAAAATGGTAGTTAGCTTCCCAAATACTCACATATGATGAGCAAATATTTAAGACAAAGAGTATACAGATTTTGCACATACGTGTATGTGTATACATATGTATTTCACTTCTTTGTAAAAGTGAACAATTCCATCTTATAGCTTTATGTTGTACTTTCTCTTTTTACCTGTGCAGCTAGTTATGTCCATTCCACCTAGTAATCCAACTAACATTTGCAAGAATATTTTTAGTGGGTCACTGTTATGGCGACCAATTCAAAGTCTTCACAGAACAAATGTAAAGTCACTAAAGAAGGTCCATATTCTTTTGTGATTTGAGGGGCTAAATATTTTGTATAAAACTCCTCTCCTTACAAGGGTTTTTGCTATCATTCTTAGGCACTATGTTTCCCTAAATTATATAACATAAAAAGGGAAAAAAATTGTAACTTGAATAAGATTCAATTTGATAAAGTTTAAGCATATAATTTTTAAACAAATCATCAAATATACAGTTGCACTTCTTCGAATTTTCACCCTAATAAGATCCCATGGTAACGTCACTAAAACATTCGACAAACCTACATTAATATCTTAATTACAACAATAAGATATTGCTAAATGATTTCCAGTTAAAAGTTTTTTGAAACTTTTTACCTGTACTTGGTAATTTTAAATAGTTTAGTAAATTCCCCAGATGAAAATTGCAAAAAGCATACTTAAATTTTTCTCTTACCCACTTTCCTAAATGACAAATCTTTCCTCAGAAAATAACTCAAAACATTAATGAAATATGAAGTCATCTAAAATGTTATAATAAAATAGCAAATGGAAAAAAATCTGTGTCCTTGTTGCAATTAAAACAATGTAAGATGATGTTTAGTGTGTAAACTATACACATGATCAAAGGTATGAGCTGGAAGGAATGTGCCATAAGTAGGTAATCTCTTCAAAACTTTGCTGAAGGATTGTTGATGACAAATTTTCTTTCCCATACTTTTTAAATTGCATTCTAAAAGTCCATAACACTTGAAGAAAATCAGGTGCCTGCTTCTAGCACGCCTGGTAGAGAATGGTAGCTAAGCACAGGGGCTCAGGAGCCAGTGTCTGGGCTTGAGTCCTCATGTGGGCATGGTAATTAAGCTCCCTGAGTCTCAGTTTCTGCAACCATAAAATGAGGTGACAAAAGCAACAGGTAGTATGGTGTGAGAATGAAGCTATTATAAATATTCATGCCCAAGTCTTTTTTGCATTGACATTTTCTTTCATTTCTCTTAAGTAAACACTTCAAGGTGGAATGGTTGTGTCATAGGGTATATATATATATATATATATATATATATATATAGGTTACTTTTCTGGGAAATTCCTAAACTCTCTTCTAAAGTGGTTGTATGTCTTCTAATTACGAACAACAGTGTAACTTTTAGTTTTTCTTCATCCTTATCTCTTGCTATGGTCAGTCTGTGGTTCTAATCAACATCTCTCTAATGTCTAACGATGCTCTCTTTTTTGTGTGCTTATTTACCACTCATCTATCTTCTTTGATGAAGTGCCTACTCAAATCTATTGCTGAATTTTAATTGTGATTGCTAAAATAAGTATGAAATTGGCACAGGGAGACTAATGGATAAACAACCCAGAAGAGAGTCCAGAAGTAGATCCTTACACATACAGTCAACAAAGGTGCAAGGCAGTGAAGTGGGGGAAGGACCATCTTCAACAAATGCCACTGGAACACCAGATACCCAGATATGGAACAATAGGTTTTGGTCATACCTTACTGCATATGTAAAATAACTCTAAATGGACCACAGAGCTGAATGTAAAACCTGAAACTAAATGCTCCAGAACAAAGGAGAGAAATCTGTGATCCTTGGTGAGGCACCAGTTTGCTAGTTATATAACAAAACCACAATAATGAAAGAGTACACTTCATGAAGGGCAGAACTTCGAGAGTAAAAGCTTCTTATCCAATGACACTGTTGAAGAGATGGAAGATGTAAATCACATGCCCCATGAGAAAATATTTGAAAATCATGAATCTGGATGAAGATTTTGTACCCATAATGCTAAAGAACTCTGAGTTGAATTTTAAAGGACAAGTAAAAATTACTCAGGTATAAGGAGAGATGGAATTCCAAGGCAAGGTAGCAGAGTGAGCATATCAACTGAGCAAGAACACCGGGGCACACGCAGGGAGAGGTATGTGCTCATGCACACAAATAGTTTTTTGCTGTACTTAGCAAAACAAGGAGTTCTGTGAGAAAGTATGAACTCTTTGAACTATGTCCTTGTTGCTGTCTTAAGAAGATAAAAGAATGTTTTGCCAACTGTAAAATTTATATGTGTGTGTGTGTGTGTGTGTGTGTGTGTGTGTGTGTGTGTGTGTGTGTTTGCCTGGGAATAACTAACCACAAGTTAATTGATAAGAAATATGGAGCACTGTGACCATAAACAAAGTTTTCCTGAGAATGTTTATTCATGTTTGTAAGGATTAAGCTGCCAAAAGGATGTTTTTTCTTTCCCCTTGTTTTAATTAACAATACTGTATAAAAGAAGGAGAGAAAAAAGTAAAGACGGTGCTTATTTTCTACTGAGTGTGTGTGTGTGTGTGTGTGTGTGTGTGTGTGTGTGTCTTTCTTAAGCATCTCTGCTGTACCAGGAATTACAGATTGTCAGCGGGTCTGACAGAGAGGCAAGATGCAAGGCTGGAGAAGGGACAAGAAGAGGTATCACTCAAAGGCATGGTAAACGTACTAAGGAGCATCAAACTTGACTCTGGAAGGACTCTGGAATGTTTTCAGTAGTCATGACAATGGAAACATAAGGATTTTAAGAGAGTTTACTCTGAAATCTATGTAGAAGATGTATTTGAATGAAAAAAGTATAAACCAGGTTGTAACAGAAAACCATGTCAGAAACAGTAGAGCCATGGAGGGAATGGAGAGAGAGGGGGCAATTCAAGAAAATGTTTAGGGGCTGGGGTGGTGGCTCAGTGGTAGAACACTCGTTTAGCATGCATGAGGCACTGGGTTCAAACCTCAGCACCACATAAAAATAAAATAAAAGATTGTGTCCACCTAAAACTAAAAAATTCTTTTTTTTAAAAAAAAAGAAGAAAATGTTTAGAAGGAAATCTATTAGACTTTTTAATTGATTGAATCTGGAGGATGCAGAAGGTAGAAGAAAGAGTACGAGTACTATATGTCTTTGCTAGTAATATACAGAATACTAAAGAAATAATTTGGTGAATTATGGTCAGTTCAGTTTTGAATGGATCCCTTAGATGTGAGTCTGGAGGTTTAAAGAGAACCCCTATGTAGTGACTTAAGCAATTAGTTTATATTTTTTCCATATAAAATTATCTAGCAAAACTTACAACTAATAGATCTAATCCTTGCCCCCTGATTCATAATGATATTAAATTCCCATGACATGTAGGTAATTTCTTGAGCATTCTAGACTGTTACATCAATATTCTTGTCTACTCCCATGCTAGTACTACACTGTTTTTACTGCTACTACCCCAGTTTTATGAAGTCCTACCTTATCATTACCATACCTTCTTCTTCCTTTTCAAAATTGTCTCAACTGTTTTGGGCCCTTGTTTCTTCCAAACATTTTGCTAAACTTCATGAAAACCTGTGCAAGCATTTTGACTGAATTCATGCTGAAGTTATAGGATCAACCTGGAGAGAACTGATATCTCAATGAAACTGACTCTTTCCAATTATGAACAGTATATATCTTCAAGTCTTTTATTCATAATTTTCCATAAAGATTTGTTCTCATCTCTCTTGTTCAATTTATTAAAGCTATGACATAGTTTTTACCATAGGAATGGTGACTTCTTTTAACATTACCTTTTCTGACTGGCTATTTCAAGCATATCAAAACTACTCTTGGTTTTTGTACAGTCATACATTGCTAAATGACAGGATAAATACATTCTGAAAAATGTTCATTAAGTGACTTCATCCCTGTGTGAACATCACAGAGTGTATTTACATTAACGAAGATAGCAATTTAATATTATAGGACAATAGTTAGATATGTGACTTATCACTGACATAAACACTGTCATGTGGTACATGACTACACAATGGCATTATGTCCAGTAGAATATATAGATATAGATTTGGGGAGCAACATAAAAGTTAAATATTAATAATAATTACAAAGGTTATTATCTCTCATTAAATGTTATGTTTGAGGCCCTATGCTAAAGGCTTAAGTAAGTTCATTAATCCTCAGAACTCCATGATGCAGGTCTAACTCTTGCCTTATTTTATAGTCCAGAAGTCTAAAAATTAAAGCTAGATTAAAAACAAACCAGGGAAAGAAGCATGAATAATACTAATACCTAAAAAGACAATAAAGTGAAGGAAGAAAAACCAATTAACAAGACAAGGATCATGGTCTACAAGGTATGAAAAACATCAACAGTGAGATATAACAAAATTAAAATAGGGTGAGTATTCAAAAGGAGACCCTCAAATGTGTCAAATGTAGGAGAGAGATAATGTTTAAGGTAAGAGAGGCACAATTTTTCCTTGGATTTTTAAATTAAGAGGACACTGGTTATCTCAGTCAAGGCAGTTTCTGTGGAATAGTGGGGACAAAGCCAAACTGGAATGGCTGCTTCCAATGAGTGGTCAAAGGCAGCTAAGAAACAGAAAATAATGAAACATGAAACATGACAGTAAAAGAAAAAAAATTATAGACAGTTTCTAACAGGAGCTCAAGGTCAAGGGGAAGCTGCTGGGGCCACATATATGTTTTCGATTTGTTGTTAAGAGCTGTGGTTCTTATTTCTTCATACATGCTGCATTTTCCAGCCACAGTATTTTTCCTTGATTCCTACTGTTGAGTCTTAATCAAAGAAAGGCTGAATCAAATGCTACCTTCTTTTTGAATATCTACTTCCCATGAATTAGTATTCATACATGAATCCAAGAGATTTAACACTGTGAGTCTCAGTAATTTAAGTCTTTAGAATAAGAAATACAAGTCTTAATTGCATTATCTTGAGAATGACCAGGCCACCAGTTCACAAAGGAAACATCACTGACACATCTTTTGACCCAATGTCAAAGGTGTTCTCAGTACCAGATCAGCTGTATACAGCCATCCTGAATCACCAATGGCAGACATGCTTTACTTTGATATAAAACATTTCACAAAACTAACCATTAAAATATTTTTTAAAACCTTACTCTGGCAGCAGAAGCAAAAGAATCTGGGCCATGAGCTGCATTTCTTATGCCATCTGTTCCAAAAAGGGCTCTAATGCTTCCAGGAGCATCTGTACGAGCCACCCCAGAGTTTGCAGGTCCAAGCAGTCTTTTCCATTCACATATTGCATCATCTCTTAAAAGCTCCATAGCAATAACAGGACCACTTGTAATAAACTGGATCATCTCACTATAAAACAGGGAAAAGATTGGTTTGCTTTTGCCAACTTAAGACTTCTCTCTTAACCACATAGATATATTTAAATCTGAATATTTCAACACAGACAAGAATATTAAAATCTCAGAACTACTGTTGGGAGTAATGAGCTTTATATGAGCAGAATAAGGTTTTCATAAACTAAGTGTCTTGAAATAGCCCAATTCACTAAAAGTCAATATAGTAGTAATGTCAAATCAATTAGTTTTAGCAAAAAAAAATCACTTTTATTGGATTAAGACCATTTCATTGACTGTGTGTGTATGTGTGTGTGTGTGTACACAGAACTATCAGAATTCAAAGAGTGATGAAGAACTCTCTATAAATAAACATTGACTTGGTTTAGTGATAAAGAAAAAGGGTGTCAATGGGTCTTCAAGAAATATATATTTATTATACAAAAGCTACTGAGTTTCCTATATTAAATTATTAAAGCATACACAGAGGTTCTTGATTAAAAATCTAGTAATGAATCACCATCCCCCAGGGAATAAAAAAAGTAACGCATTTTATATTTCCACTTCCACATGTACAAACACAGCAGTGACAAGGTTAACTGTGAAAGGAGTAAGTATCCTCGCTACTGCGGTAAGCAGACAGAAGCATGCTTTTAGGGTGAGCCCATGTTTCTCTCTCATCCAAATCAGAGAGAGAACAGGACTGTGAGGGAGGAACAGAGAGTAACAGTCCTTGTGCCTATTAACTTAGGACTGTTTTACACAATTCCTTCCTTCACGTACCATGTAACCTGTCTAATTTAGAGGTACATACACTCCCATGTTACCCATCTAACTCCCTCAGTACTTCACCACTCCAATTCATTTTAAAGACTATTTCTAAGAAATAGCATGTATGAAGTGATAGTCACCCTCCACTCTAAGAAGACCATGGGACCCACTAGCACATACTTTGCTAGCCCTTACCTACCCCCCAAAACCCCTGCAAACCAACCATTAGATCTAAGGAGCCCAAATAGAGGTAGCACACCCATGTTTATTCATTCAATAAGCATTTGATGATACCCTACTGCATATCAGAATATATACTATAAGATTCCTCCCACAAGAAATTGATGATCTAAAGTCCTGTTAATGCAGAATTCTAAGAATATAAGTTTATCATGTAATAACATAGAGAAGAGTATATCATAAGATATTGCTTCATGAAGTGATATCTAGTTACTGCTGATATTCTTTAATTACATATTTCCCAATACTAGGCAACTAGTTAATTCATTCATTTAATAAACTTTACTGCATATTAATTACATATAAGACATTAAACTAGGATTTGTAATCCACTGATACAAAGTGAAATAAAAGAACCTATAAGAATAATTTCTACAAATCTGCTAGAAAACAAGACTTGGGAAAATTTTATAAGGCTTGATTTAAAATAATCTGTAAGAAAAGAGTTAGAAACTTTAGAGATACATACACTGCCATGCTTATAGCAATCACAATTGCCAAATTATGGAACCATCTTAGGTGTCTATCGATAGATTAATGGATAAATAAAATGTGGTATGTACTCACACACACACATAAACACACACACACACACACACACACACACACACACACACACAATGGAGTTTTTATCAGCCATAAAGAATGAAATCATGACATTCACAGGAAAATGGACAGAGCCAGAGAGAATTATGTTAAGTGAAATAAGCTAAAATCAGAAAGATAAGAGTCTCATGTTCTCTCTCACATGTGGAATTTAAAGAAAAAAGGGTCTCATGAAGATAGAAGGGGGACAAAGGGTACAGCATGAGGGTCAGGAAGAAGGAGCAGGAGAGGGCAAAGGGTGGTACTAGGGAGTGAAATTGATCAAATTAGGTTAAATACATGTACAAATATGCCACAATGAAACCCACTCTTTGGTATAATTAATATGTACCAATAAAAATATTTTTAAAAATCTGTAACAGTAATTTTCTTGTAAAAAGCTTTAAAAATACTACTCTGTGTAGGATACCAAATGGCATGTCTGTTGTAGCAGTTTGAGTAAAATAACATTTATCCTTATTAGAAAGTAAGCATTCCTTTGTATGTCAATAATTAAGTGTGTACCATTTTCACTTAAACTTAATTATATAGCAAACATTCAGGATACAGATTGTTTCTAATATATATTAGCTGCCATTTTTCAAGAAATAAAATATATATCAAATTATTTAAGTTCAAATATAAGGGTTCTATGAATATTTTATACATACAAGACAACCACAGTAAGAGACTTTAAAAGCACAACAAAAATTTCCATCAATATAATCGTTACTAAATTTGTAACTCACTCAAGAAAGCTATGCTTCTCGTAACTTAAATCATCTCCTTCAGATTAAAGTTTCAGCTACTTAATGATGAACATATAGAATTCTTTTTTTATGGTACTGGGATTAAACCCAGGTCCTCCCACATGCTAGGCAAGCACTATATCACCAAGCTGTATCCACAGTCCTTTTTAATTTTAAGACAAGGTCTCTCTTAAGATGTCCAGGCTGGTTTTGAACTTTCAGTCCTCCAGTTTCAACCTCCCAAGTAGCTGAGATTACAGATGTGTACCACTATGCCTGCCTGAGACAAAAAATTGTTATCTAATAAAAGAAAATAATTCTTAGAAAAGAACTCTGTGCAGTTGTCAAGATGTAATTTTGGTCCTTTTGACAGCTTATTCTCATGAAACAAAATTTTAAATTATAAAATATGATTCTTGCCAGGTACAGAGGTATATGCCTGTAATTCGAGCAACTAGGGAGGCTGAGTGAGGCAGGAAGATTGCAAGTTCAAGGCCAGATTGAGCAACTAAATGAGATCCTGTCTCAAAATAAAAAAATAAGTACTAGGGGTGTAGCTCAGTGGTTGATGCTTGCCTAGCACATGTGAGGCACTGGGTTTAAGCCTCAGCATCACATAAAAATGAATAAATAAATAAGTAAAATACAGGTATTGTGTCCATCTATTTAAAAATAAATAAGTAAATAAATAAATAATATAAGCAAAAGAGTTGGGGAACATAACTCAAGTGGCAGAGCACCCTGGGTTCAATCCCTGGTAGAACTCTCCCATACCCATACATGTATAACTTTAGTTTTCCAAGATATTCTCCATTATGAACCACTAGTCTCAAATTAAATACCTACTTATAAAACGGCCTTGACTGGTGGTCTACATGAAAATCAGTTGCTTCTTTCCTATAAAATAATCAAAATGACAACAGTTGAGAATTATGTAAGAAAACTATTATTTTAGCTTATCTTTAAAAAAGATGAAAACCTCTAAATATATATATCTCAGTGTGTGAATTAATTAATGATGTTTTACCAAATAGTCTGTTAAATTCCCCTCCTTTTAAATATTTTGCAAGAATGAGTCATTTCTATGGTAAGATGTAAAATTAAAATGAATACAAGAGGTACTACTCATGTTGGGATGAAGCTGAAATCAAAGACAACTTGTCCAGGTTCCTCAGCTAAGTTAGGGACCCCATCACACTATTAAGGCAAGCTAATAGACTGGCGTCCTAACCAGCATACAATATGAAGGCTGTGAAGAAGCTTTTTAGTTTGATATCATCCCAGTTATTGATTTTTTATTTACTTCTTTACTTTAGGAGTCTTGTTGCAGAAGTCGGTTTCTAAGCTGACATGATACAGAGTTGGGCCCACTTTTTCTTCTAGTAGACACAGGGTCTCTGGTTGATGCCGAGGTCCTTGATCCACTTTGAGTTGAGTTTTGGGCAGAGTAAGAGAGAGGGGTTAAATTTTATTCTGCTCCATATAAATTTCTACTTTTCCTGGCACCATTTGCTGAAGAGGCTACCTTTTCTATGGCACCTTTGATGTGACAAGATTTTTAAAGAAGATTAAGAAAAACCAATAAAAATTAATTTACAAATCCTTGTGAAATAATGGTGAGTTTCTTCATAAAACCAATATAAAACTCTTATAGATGGTGATGCACTTGCTAATATCTATCTCCTTCTAAGCTGTATACGGGAGGAATTAGATAAGAATAAGGAGGAAAATTCACACACTCTCATTCTGGCTTCTATTTTAGATGCTGGAAGAGAAAAAGACTTAAAGGAGTCCTTTTCACTTATATTAAAGATAGTGGTTGTTCTTTTCCCTGGTAGTAGTTAAGTTTGTGTGTGTGTTGAAAGGTTTGGAATTCATCATTTTAGTACTCTTCTACTGCTTCTTCTGATTTACTTCTTGTGTGAGTTTTTCAGATATCAATTTTACCCCATTTTAAGCAGCTGTATGATATATGCATGTCACATTTTTATGAACTCTTTACTGTCTAGATTTTTGTTGTTATTTTCAGTTAGTGGTAGAAAGAGCATAAGCAATCAGAGACTTGGGTTCAGATCTTCCTATCTTTCCCTAATTGTTCTTTGACCTCACCATGCTAAACTTGTTCTTCTCATATGTAAAATGAAGGTGGTCATATCTAGTACAATATATTGTTGTGGAATAAATAATTTAGTCATGAGGTGGGCATGTAGTGGGCTCTGGAAACATGTGAGTTTTTCCCCCTCCTCATGTATTGTTATTCTCTGTACTTGTGTAGTATATTTTTATAATGTCTCCACAGCCAGAGGGAGTATTTGAGTATGTGTGTGTGGAACTGACATAACATATATGTGCAAATTCATTTTGTAATAGGCCAATGAGGTATTTTTTGATGTGTTACTTTTCAATAGAGACCACATCACTTCATCTGTTTTAGTGAATAACAGATGAGAGGCAATAATTCAAGAGGGCACCAGAAAGCTTTTTCATCATAAAATGACAGAAAGGGTTTAGCATCTTCACCACCCAACCCTTTGTTAGTTCTTTCTTCTGATCTGCCTGCTGCTTCACACCAAAAAAAGCAAATAACCCAATTGATTAATGGGCAAAGGAACTGACCAGGCACTTTACAGAAGAAGAAATACGAATGACCAACAAATATATGAAAAATTATTGAACAACTCTAGCAATTAGAGAAAAGCAAATTAAAGCTACACTGTGATTCCATGGTGATTATTAAGAGTACAAGTAACAATAAATGTTGGCAAGGATGTAGGGGAAAAGGTACACTCATACATTGCTGGTGGGACTGCAAATTTGTGCAACCACTCTGGAAAGCAGTATGGAGATTCCTCAGAAATCTTGGAATGGAACCACCATTTGACCCAGTTTTCCCACTCGTTTGTATATACCCGAAGGACTTAAAATCAGCATACTACAGTGATGCAGCAACATAAATGTTTATAGCAGCTCAATTCACTGTAGCTAAGCTATGGAACCAACCTAGGTGCCCTTCAACAGAGGAATGGATAAAGAAAATATGGTATATATACACAATGGGACTACTCAGCCACAAAGAATGATATTATACTGGTAAATGGATGGAACTGGAGACTATCATGCTAAGTGAAATAAGCCAATTTCAAAAAACTAAAGGTCCAATATTCTGTATGATATGTGGATACTAACACACAATAAGTAGGGGGCAGCGAGAGTAGGTAAGAATAGAAGTCCATTGGATTAGACAAAGGGGAATGAAGGGAAGGGAGAAGGGATGGGAATAAGAAAGACAGTTGAATGAATCAGACAGAACTTTCCTATGTTCATATATAATACATGACTGGTGAAACTCTATGTCATGTGCAATTAACTACAAGAATGGGAAGTTACACTCCATGTATGTATAATATGTCAAATATACTCTATTGTCATATATATATAACAAAAACTCAATAAATTTTTTTTAAAAAATAGCACTGTAACTTTGTAATTCCCTTCCTATCCTTGATACCCTTGTCATAAAAAAAAGAAAGAAAGAAAAAGGCACACTGTCATGTGTCACTTAACCATATTATCTATTCTGATAAACGCACTGCTAAGTGATATCACGGCACTAAGGTAAGAGCCAAGGCATATTCAAGTAATTGAAACCTAAGAAGTGGCAAGAGGTGAGCCTACTAAAATAGGTTAAGTCAGATGAATAAGGGTGTTATGTACTCCCCCAAAGAGCTAGCCTGTTTTCTCCAGCAGACAATGGGAAACCACTGTAGGTTTAAGAGGATGGAGATGTGCTCAGATTTTCATTCTACTGATAAGCCTCACTCTATTGGCAATATCCAGAGTAGAAGGAAGCAATCTTGGGTAAGGAGTAACCTATCAAGAGTCATTAAAGAACATTAACTTTAGAAGTAGGCAAATTGGCCAGTAATATATTTAAATGCTTTTACAAGTTGAGCAGGATCCTATGCTAAGCTGCAATGGGAATTGTAAGGAAGGAAAGGCTCTCAAAGATGTATAGAAATCAGAAGTAAAAAGACTTAAATATCAGGTAGATGTGAGAAATGGGGGGTAATCAGATTGAATCCAGGATCATTTTCAGATTGATGGTAATAGAGAAAAGTCAGAGCTAGAGATATACCTGCATTTCACCTATAAATAAGTAGCAGGTGATTATATGGACATGGACATGGACATGAACATGGATGGGACTACCCAGGGAAAGTACAGAGAAAAGGATATGCACAGGACATGCTTTAAGAAAAAGATGTAGCCATGGAAGTAGGTCACTGAAAAGATGGTGGCAGTCATTGAGATGGGGAAATCCAACCACCTTGATGATCACTCACAGAAATCTTGAAGTCATCCCTACCAACAGAGACAAAGATTATAAGCCAAATGTCCAAATACTGAATAAATGTGGGGTTTGTGACCTGAAGAATGGAAATGAGGACAATGTATGGCATGTCCTTCCAAGAAGGAGCTGTTCTGTGAAAGCGTGGAGATTTTCAGAGGGAGATAAAGTATTGATGCTACATCATGACCTTATGACACAGGAATATTCAAGAGTGAACAGCCTACACAAAAGGGCTAACAGGAAATGGAAGCCCTTGGAGAAGAGTCAGACTCCAACTAAAGGAAAGGTGAAAGCACGACTTGGAAGCTCTCTATTATGACACTGTGGACACAAGAATGTTTGTTTACAATGAAACTTGGCTTCCAGAAGGACCAGTATAAAGGGTCTGATAACAGATAATGATCACCTGACTAAGGGAAAAGGGACAACAAAGGAACAAATATTTGTGTAGACAATAATTAGAAGGGCTCACATTTGTGTCCTTCCAAAGGCTGAAGAGTTTTATAATGCACAGATGGAATTAACAAATTTCAAGGTTCCAAAAAAACTCTACAAATTTATACTATGTGGTGTTCCTAAAGTGTTGATTTTTTTTTTTTTTTAATGTGCTACAAGGCTTTTGTGATAAACAAGCAGCATCCCTATCATGGGACATTTGACACCATGCTATGAAAACACTGGAGGTAGACACATTAAATGCATGTAGCCCTTGTAGCACGTTAAGCTATACATACTATCATGATCCTCATTCTTCAGATGAAAAAACAAGTACCGAGATAGAATGTTCAGAGTCACATGCATAGAAAGTGCCATAGCTATAAGCAATCTGGCCATAGACACTGCTCTAAAGCCTCTGCCTCTACATAACATGGAAACAGGGAGATTTCATATAGGAGAAAACTTTCAAATTTAAACATGTCACTGTTGAGGTAAAACTAAGGGCACTTTGTCAGCATTTCCAGGATCACACCTATTGAAGCTGGGTTGAATGTTCACTGTTTCCTGTTGTCCCTGTTTTCAGAGATGAAAATGCAAGTGACCCACAGAATAGAAATTCAGGAACCAATGATTTTTTGAAGGAAAAAGAAGGCACCAAAACCAAAGAAAAGATTAAAACCAAAGAAAAGAACTGATGAAATTACAGAATACTGGAGCCAGCTCTGCCTAACTGCCACTCACAGGCCCCTTCTGTGTCACACTCAGCCAATGAGAATATGACCCCAGGGAAACGGAACTCTGCCCCGAGAGATGCCCCACCTCCCTTCTACATCCTCTGGAATATTTCTGTCTTTGTTTTGCCTACTGGGTATGAAAATAAAAAAAGAAAAAAAAAACAAGTGTCCAATGTCATAGAAAGATACTGCGCTTTTTCCCAGTGGTTTTTCAATTTCTTTGGAGAAGTTGTCCCATTTCTCTGTTCTTTACTTGGACATTGTGAATATTTTTCTTGCCATTCCCAAGGGAGAAACACCATTTTATCATGGGATTGGAGTTACTTTATTTTTTGATAAAGCTAAGTAGAATAAGTTTTATTTTCATCAAATTACTTAGGAAATGTCTGGTTAGATACATTGGATTGCGTTCCCAGTAGTAAGCAGACATATTTACCCATTATATATACTTAGAAGAGATAAATACAAATACTTCCAAATATATCAATATTGAAAACCTATAATAATCACATTCATTTCCTCTTCTATCACTTACATACAGTATGTCATTCTTATGTATTAAGAACATATTGTAACTATCAACCATTAATGTCATAGAAGCAGACAGGGCTGTGGAAGACAATAGAGCATTACATAAGAACTGTCTGACAACTCCCAGTTGTTTAGAGTTCAAATGATTATTTATGCATCTGATAACCTGTTTTATTTTTCTCATTCTGATAAAATTACTATTCTACTCTGTCATTCAGTGAAGAGTTTTCTTTAAATTTTAGACAACAGAAGGAAAGATAGGTAAGTTTTTTTTAACAAATGAAATCAGACATTATATAACTGAGAATGATTTTAAAAAAATTACCTGGAAAGCATCATCATTTTAAGTTTAGTTATAGTAAATCCAGCTTTGTTTATTATTTCAATTATTTCTCCAGCCTTTGTTACTGCATCTGGTTTAATCAGGGCTAATGTTCTGTAAATAAATAAATAAGGAATAAATTTGAAAATAAACAGTTTTTCAGGTTTTTTTTTTTTAAAAAAACACCCAAGGAGTGGTAGTTTCCTTAACAATCATCCCAGATTGGGCTGGGATTGTGGCTCAGCAGTAGAGCACTCGCCTAGCACGGGTGGGACCCAGGTTCGATCCTCAGCTCCACATAAAAATAATTATAAATTCTTCTTCTGACTCTTTATTCATATAATGGGTGATGCACAAAGAGCCCAATGTCCTCTCACTGAACGATGTATACAAATAGCAAGCATCATGCCGACTTTTATGCTTCCTTCCAAGAGCATAAAACAGAGCAATGTACTCTCTGAAGTCTATGAATTAACAGAATTTTGGAGATGGACATAATCTCAATGTCACTTTACTGATGAGGAAACTAGGCCTAAAGAGGTAATACGGAAAAGTCACATAAATGATTAGTTTCATCTTCAGGACAAAACACACAGTTCAGAAGACTCCTAGGTCTGTGCTCTTTACCAACCATAAATAGTGTAACTATTATTAAATAGGTGCACCATCACCAAATCTGCAAGAATAATATTTGCAAGTATAAGATAAAAACCTGATCAGTTGCAATAACTCAATCTACATGATAAAGAATTGCTGCTACTTCCACTTCATTGTTCTGACAATATTGGCATTAATTCAAGGAATCCATACAGGAGAACAGTTTTCATAATAAGCTATTTTTATCAACAAAAAGAACATAACATAAAGGCTGGGGATATGGCTCAGTGGTAAAGCACCTCTGGGTTCAATCCCTGGTTCCAAAAAAATAAAGTCTTTGCTTTTTCTTTCACCTTACTTAACCGTTATAAGCCAACCTAACCTAAAAATTGCATTAAACTCTAGAAGAATATTTCACAAACCCTAACTCTTAAAATATAATAACAGTCATCAATTTCTTTTTTTATTTTTTAAAATTAATTAATTATTTTATTTTAATTAGATACATATGACAGAATGCATTTTGATTCATTGTACACAACTGCAGCACAACTTTTCATTTCTCTGGTTGTACATGATGTAGCGTTGCGTCACATGTGCAGTCATACATGTACCTAGGGTAATAATGTCCATCTCATTCCACCATCTTTCCTACCCCCATGCCTCTTCTCCCCGCTTCCTCCCCTATGCACAATCAAAGTTCTTTCACTTAAAAGTCATCAATTTCTGTGAACAAGAAGCAGCATGAATCTAAAACTGGCCTGGGGAAGTAGCTCAGTGGTGGAGCACTTGTCTAACATATGCAAGGCCCTGGTTTGATTCACAGTATCACAGATAAAAAAATTAAAAAGTCTAAAACCAATAGAACCTTGCTGGGACTGAGAATTCAGTCTTCTTTGGATGCTCCTTTTATAATAAAGTCCTTAGCCTTATCTTCAGCCTTTACTGCCCTTTGGCTGGTCTCTTCAGATGCCACCAAGGAGGCCTCAGACTTTTACCAACTCACCTAGGATTACAGGGGTGGACCTCTCCCATTTTCTTTTCTACATTTTGTTTGTTTGTTTATTCTTGGTAACAGAGATTGAACCCAGGGGCGCTTAACTATTGAGCCACATCCCCAGCCCTTTTTATTTTTCATTTTAAGACTGGGTCTCACCAAGTTTCTTAGGGGCCTCGGTAAATTGCTGAGGCTGACTTTGAACTCGTGATCCTCCTGTCTCAGTCTCCTGAGTCACAGGGATTATAGGCATGCACCACCAGACCTGGCAAGCGAAGTCTAAATTTATGGTTTATTTTATGTTTTTTTTGTGAGCATAAAGTGTGTGCTTCCCTCGTGAATAAAGGAAAACATCCTATCATAAGGTAGCCTGTGATATGGACTAAATTCATTTATCATTTATTAATTTCAATGTTTTTTAATTCATTCATACACTATTATATATATCCCAATACTATAATGCTGCTTAAATATAGCTAAGGCTTCGGATTGGCAATAATGACAGTTACTCAGAGCAATCCCTATACTGAAAAACTAAAACAACAAAGTGAGGGGCTGGGGTTGTGGCTCAGAGCACTTGTCTAGCATGTGTGAGGGCCTGGGTTCAATCCTCAGCACCACATAAAGACAAATAAATAAAATAAAAGTACTGTAACCATCTACAACTAGAAAAAAAACCTTTTTTTAAGAAGTGGGTAAGATACTTTTTAAACATTTTTTTCAAAGTAAAGATGAATTAACTAGTTAGTAAGTAATTACGAGGACAATTTAAAAAAAAAATAGGGGTGCCAGAAAGTGAGAATGAAAGCAGCTTTTGACTTGCCAGTATTTGTGTGACAAATTTCAACTTTAATCTATACTACATTACTAGGAGAGGGGAATGGAATCCAATAGGTTATCCTCCCTAAAATAATTTGGGACCAATAGCTATAATATGAATGTAAAACCAAAAGCACATGTTCACATCACATAGGCATTTCAGAACTTAATTTCTGAACCCGGATAATGGTCAGATTGCTAATGCCTACAGAAAATAGGCAGAAGCAACACAATTCTTCTCAGGGAGAAAATTCTCTTATTTCTGTACCTCCAATATTTAATATATAGACAGTGCACACATACACAACACTCCCTGCACACAAACAGCAGCCATCATCATAAAGATAACCACACATACAGACACACACAGGAAAAGAACAAAAGAGAGAGAACCAAAAGAAACAACACGAACAGAGAAACCTACAAATACTTCATGTACTGAATTTACCTATCCTCAATCAGTTAATAATTTGGAGGGAAAAGTGGAGACTAACAGAGTTCAAAAGATGAAAAAAAGATGATTTAAGGTACAAGGTATGTAATGTGAAGGAGGAAAAGAAGAGAAATAAGAGATTTCCAAAGGAGGTAAGTATATGGGTAAAGTTTGGTTCCCTTCTGGATGTTGGGTTAAAATACAAATAGGACAAGGAATCCCTATTATTCCAAGACTGTGATTAAGTGAATATGAAGCTTAGGAGTTCAAAAGGAGGTTTCTCAATAAAAGAGAATTAATTCAATTTTGAATTTGTTTAAGTATCTATGTGAAGTCCACATGAAAAGACACAAAAAAATTTATAATATTTGGTTTTGCAGCTGGGCTGATAATATAATCTTGGAAAGCAACATACAGTTGAAGTCATGGGTATATGTGGGAGACCAACTTTGCATGTGACTGAGTCACACTCCCTGGCTGGATGCTGAGGAGCTCAGTCGAAGAAATGTGACAGAGTTTTTCCCACCCTTCTTGGGTTCCAGGGAAGGTGTCTCATGCATGGGTGTGTCTTGCTACAGCCCCATGGGTGGAGCTACGCTCACCTGTTCCTCTGTAATATAACCCCTTACCCTGTTTGGGATAGAATGTTCCATGGAAACACCTTTTGTGTGTCCCCTTATCTTACTGTGCGCTTGGGTGTAGCCTACCTAGATGTCAGTCAACCTGCTGACAGTGGACATCATGAAGATAGACTCAGCCCCCTGAAACCTGACATCTTGCCTCATTTGAATAGCTTCTCCTCAATAAAAGGGGTCTGCCCATGCATGCATGCATGCATCTCTCTCTCTCTCTCTCTCTCTCTCTCTCTCTCTCTGAGGACCCTTAAGGTCAGAGGAGCCAACCGTCACAGCGACCCCAAAGAAAAAGGTATTTCCGCCTCTTGTGTGGTTATTTTGTGCATCCCAGTTAGCCCAGTTTACCTGGAGTGACCCCTAAGCCTTTTAGTCAAGAACAGAAACCAGGCAGGTATACACAGAATCCCCTCAAAGGGTGCACAGAATGAGAAAAAAAGGTCCTCAGACAGAAACCTGGGGAATGCCAGCTCTATATTTTAGCACCCTCTTTTAAGAAGACGTCAGAATGACAAAGAAATAGCCAGAGAAGCAGAGATGAAAGCAAGAGGCACGCAGTGCAACAGCAGCCAGGGGAGAGAAAGGGATGCTTTCTACATTATTCTACACTTCACTGCTCCAGTTGGGATGAGGGAAGGAAAGAGGTCCATTTTCAGCATTTATTAATTTCAATGTCTTTTAATTCCTTCATACACTATTATATCCCAATACTATAATCCTGCTTACATATAAAATACCTGAACCCCAAGGCTAGTTCAAAGTTTAAATAGCCAAGATTTGATGACATTTTGTTTCCATAAATTTTATTCAAATACATATCTGATGACATTTGCAAATCTCCAAATATAAAAAAATGTAAAAAAATGAATCAAATTCCAATACCAGATAATGTATGTTCATCCACAAGTATTCTTAAACTATGTAAGTCTTAAAAATAAAGTACTATTTCAATACCTTTAAAAGTGTTATCTATAAGGCATATTTAGGCTAAACAAATACTTGGAATTCTTGGGCTTTGTTAAAAAATTCAAAAGCTAATTTGGGTCAGTCACCTTGCCTTCAAGAAAAGTGCTCTTAAACCCTTGGAAAGCAAAGGTCTCATCTTAAATACAGCTTGCTATTTACCCACATTTCATTTCAAGGCAATGAATCATATCAGTACATCTCCATGAGAACAAAAGAATTCATACCATTATTTTTTTTTTGCTATGATGGAGCCTCATCATAGCAAAAACAAAATAATGGTATGAATTCAAATAATTGGGCTAATAACCTTTATCCATGTGATAAAGTGTTTATGAAAGACAATAGAAATGTGAATCAAATGTCAGATTTCTTCAAAGGGAACTGAAAACTTCAGGATAATCTGTGAGCTAAATTTAATTATACTGAATTATTTGGATCATTGCTTCACAATTAGCTAATGGGCTCCTTGGAGAGCAACTTCACCCATCCCCCTCTCTACAGGTTTACTCCAGGAAGAAAGGTGCTGGGTATGCAGTTAGCTCATTAACTTTTCCTTGATGTTTATACTAAACTGAAAATTAGACTCAATTATAATTATTATGTAGAAGATGTTTCTCTGGGACCCTGAGAGGTATACATGTTTTTCCACATGCCTACTTTTATGTCATTGAAATAAAACAATATATTTTTGAAACTCTTGGATTTGGAAATTAATTTAAACCACCCAAAAGATTGCTGTATTTGCTACCCACAGGCAGTTAGGAAAGAATCTGAAGAAAAAAGTGGTGAATCAATTTAAATCAGTAAAATATATAATAAAAATACTTTGCTGATTTTTGGAGCTTTTCATGCATATACTTCTACCATTGATCCCTATTTTTTAAAAATATTTATTATTTAGTTATCAACGGGTACAACATCTTTGTTTGTATGTGGTGCTGAGGATTGAACCCAGGCCGCACGCATGCCAGGTGATTGTGCTACCGCCTGAGCCACATCCCCAGCCCCTGATCCCTATTTTTAATTACCCCAACAGTCACACCACAAATGCAAAAAAAAAACTCTCCAAATAATATAAAGTATAAGTCATAGAACTCAAAGCCAAGAAAGATATCCAAAGAATTAAAACTTCATTTCAAATATATTTAATTCTAGTCTCTAAAAGTTGCAACTCAGAAGTAAAAGCTGAAAATTAAACTGTCATTATGGTAACAATGAAACCAATATTCAGAAGACACACAATATCAAAAGTTCTTATTTTCTATAAAGCCAGCTTTTCAGCTATAGTTCCAAACTGTTCTATGTCTTCTAAACCAAAACTGAGGAAAATCAGAATGACAAATATAGCTTTGATAAACAAAAAGAAGACTGAAGAGATGCATGTGGAGGACACTGGACTGCTGCTTCTGTACATCGCATGTTTGGATAAGGGTCTGCCAACACTCCCCACCTGCGGCACAACTGGGAACCTTTAAGAAAGACCTAGTGGGAGGGCTTGAGGTCAGTGGGGGCAAGTCCTCAAAGACTATAGTAGGACCACAGGCCCTTCCTCTTCCTCTCTTTTCTTCCCAACCCTGAGGAGAATGACCTTCTTTTCGGATTGCTCTCACGGCGATGTGCTGTGCCACCACAGGCCTAAAGCCATGAGGCCAATTGGCCAAAGGCTGAAACCTTTCCTCTTTACAAGCTGATTTATCTAAGGTATGTAGCAGGAAGCTGACCACACAAGCAACACGCTATGGGAGTGATGAAGAGAAGAAGCAGGAATGGCCACCAGCTGGAAATATCCTCCTGACACAGCAGCTATTTTCAATAATGTGATTATTCATAATTTTTGTGGGATATATCCTATAAATAATTTAGCATTGTAGGTATCACCACAACAGTCCTTGGGGATACAACTGTGAACAAGAAAGGCAAACTAGTTTCCCTGTCTCATAATGCCTGAATATGATTTCTTTCTCTTTTTTTTTTTTTTTCCTTTTTACAACACTCAAAGTCTTTCTTTAATTGCTCAGATATTTATTGGACATGTTATTTCTGTGAATAAAGCTCAAGAATAAACAACATTAGTGACAACCTAAACAAGAACTTCCTTGTCAACTAGATCAAAGGAGGTCACAATTTAAAACAGGAAGGAAATAGAAAAAGAATGGATAAATTTTATCTTGTTCTTTATTAATTCATTTACTTAACACAGATCAGGTGTCTGCTAAGTGCCAAAGGAGACACAAAAATGAACTAAGACAGAATAAAGCAACTATCTTCCAGGTCCTACCCATGTTCCTCTGGTTGACTCCTGACATTCTTGATTCAGACTGACTTTGAGTTTAAATCTGGTTTCTACTGTGAACTTCACCAAGTTACCTAAGATCACTAAGCATCAACTTCCCAGTCTACAAGTGGAGATGATGTCATGGGGCTAAATCAGATGAATGCAAATCATTCAAGACTGTGCCATATATAACAATTAGCAGCCACTGCATACTCCCATCACTGTTACTCCATTTCTTTAACCATGCACATTCCTTCTTTGTGGGGGGTAGAGGTGGAGGTACTGGGGATTGAACTCAGGGCCACTTGACTACTGAGCCACATCCCCAGCTGTATTTTGTATTTTATAATGTAGAGACAGGGTCTCATTGAGTCGCTTAGAGCCTCACTCTTGCGGAAACTGGCTTTGAACTCTTAATCCTCAAGCCTTAGCCTCCTGAGCCATTGGGATTACAGGCATGTGCCACCATGCCTGGCTTGCACATTCCTTCTTTCTTCTTCACACCTACTGTTCCTAACTTAGATTGCTATCTTACAAAATAAACATTCACAAAAATTGAACCACCACATTATCCAGGCAGAGCTACAGGCTTCTCCCAGTATAAGATGTACAATTTCTTGCCTTCTACCCCTGCTTATGCTCCTCCATTTAGCCAGGACTCCACCGCACTTCATCTACCTGGTAAAAATTCAATCCATCTTTCATCATGGAGCCCAAACACCTCCACAAAGCCTTCCTTGCAATCCCACTACTTTACTTGCTTTGGAGTTCCCATTGAACTTTTTTTTTTTTTAAAGAGAGAGAATTTTTTAATGTTTATTTTTTAGTTTTCAGTGGACACAACATCTTATTTTATTTTTATGTGATGCTGAGGATCAAACCCAGGGCCCCGCACATGCCAGGTGAGTACGCTAACGCTTTAGCCACGTCCCCAGCCCCGCATTGAGCTTTTAACACTTAATACTTCTCTTTCCTCCCATAAGTCATGTTTTTCCTAAAACCAAGATTTTGTATATCAAAATATTCTTAATTCCAAGTGAGATGCATGTTATGAAAAACGATGGGCATATTAAAACTTTTGTCTTTTTTCCCCCAGAAAATAATCACTGCCTAAGACTACGGATATCACTCTGTTATTCTAATTGAACACTAAATCGCAGAATCTACTCCAAAATATTCTAAAAATGTCATGACATTTAACTGGCTCACTGAAAAATCTCCACATTGTGAAAACACAACAGGAACAGGAAATATGGTACCAAGCCTCATGCATACTGTTTTCAATGAAAAAGAAGGTTATATAATAATTTTCTTACTTTTCTTTCCTACTGCCCAGTTGACGAGCTGTATATTGATCACCATAGTCAATTAATACTAGTTGTCGAGAAAAGATATTTACTTTGTTGCCTATAAATAAATCTTCTAAGCGCAGGTCATCATATTTGGTCCGCTTTAAAAACGTACGATGATTCTTCACATCATGCTAGAACCAAAAACAATAATACAACAAAATTATAATTATCAATAAAGAATGTTAACCTTATCATGAGGTAGAAATAATTCTTACTTCTAGAATATTAAAAGATAGGTTCTTGGGAGCTGGGGTTGTAGCTCAGTGGTAGAGCGCTCGCCTGGCACGTGCGAGGCGCTGGGTTCAATACTTAGTACCACATGAAAATAAATAAAAAATAAATAAAATGAAGGTCTTTAAAAAATGTTTTTTAAAAAGGTTATTTTTTGCTGCAAACATAAATCACAATTTTTTTTTTGAGGTGGAGGGTTCTGGGGATTGAACTCAAGGGTACTTGACCTCTGACCCACATCCTCAGCCCTATTTTCTATTTAGAGATGGGGTCTCACTGAGTTTCTTAGCACCTCGCTTTTGGTGAGGCTAACTTTGAACTCGCAATCCTCCTGCCTCAGGCTCCCAAGTCACTGGGATTACAGACATGCACCACCATACCCAACCCAAATCCCAATTTTGTATATTATAAATTCTGTACTTCCTAATCCAACCTAGTAATAACATAAAAGTGTCTTATTACACATATATCATTCTTAAACAAAGATTTGTTTATGGCCAAATTATTTCAACAAATTAGTCCTATGAAATCCCAGGGAAGACCAACATGCTCAAATTTCTATTTTCTTGCATATACATTCTTAATACCAAATAGACCTACTTCTTAAAGGGACAATGAAATGGTAAAAAAGGGCCCTCGATCCTCTTCAATTTGACTTTTTGCAGAGATTACAACTTTTAGTGATGATATTTGTGACCATGATACCTTTATCTATAACCACTTATCAGTTATTGCTTAATCCAAAACATGAATAATTCTACTTAAGTTTTCTGATAAAAATATTCCAATTTTTTATATGAAAAATATAGGCATGGAACACGCTGGCTCCCACAGAGCCACTTGTTATTTTTTATTTATTTTGAGACAGGGTCTCACTAAATTGCCTTGAATCTGAGATTCTCCTGGCACAGACTCTGGAGTTGCTGGGATTATAGGCTGCACCATCTCTGCATGTTAACTGTACAAAAGAATGGGATTCATGGTGATGAGCTCCTATGTATAACTTACCTTGATCAGTATCTGCCCTCTGTCTGTCCCACTCTTCCTTCTCCTTTCATCACCTCTGAGTGATCTGATCCACTTGTAAAGCATTAAATTCTTAACAATCAGATCTATCTCAGATCTTTCCTCCCTCCAGAATCATATTACTACTGCCTAGTGGCTTTTCTGACTTGGATGCCTTGGTAAATGTGACAGATCAAAAAAAAAAAAAAACAAAAACAAAAAACAGAAGTCCTGGTGTTCTCTCCCTGGACTTGAGTGCAACCCAAACTTTCCATCTAAACAAATTTAAAAAAATAAAATAAAATAAAATAAAATAAAAAATATATATATATATATATATAAAAATAGCACGGAATGGGGGAGTATTGCCTAGCATGCATGAGGCCCTGAGGTTGATTCCCAGCAACACACACAAACAAAATACAGGCACAAAGTTACCTTCTTGTATCAGTATTATAATGAATAAAAAAAGAATTTATACAAACAGAAGTATGTTTTTTTAAAGCAACTATATAAAAGGTAACTCTACTCCTCTTCCTGTAACTCTACTCCTCTTCCTGTCTCACGTTCATCTGCTTTGCCTACATTCAAGTAAAGAAAGGTTCATTTACCATTTCAACAGACCCATCCCCTGGGTAAAACAAAAGCTCATAACGACGAAGAAGTGAAGCATTTGGATCATACCACTCTGCAGTGAAAACGTATCTCTCACTATGATTCTGGAAAGAAAAACAAAAGAATTTTAGCACTGTAACATAAAACATAAGCACTTGTCATATAAAATGAAAGTGAGAATTTCCAAATATTTGCAACAAACCAATCTGCTACTATCATACTGAACTATTCTCCTTCCTAACAAAATATCATGCCCTCAGAAATATTTCCTGCTAATTTGGATTCCTTAGATATTTTAAAGATGAATTATGAACTTTCAATAGGCTTCATGACCAACCATCCAATCATCCTAAGCAAATTAACATTTTTTAGAACATGAGTTCCTAATCCAACTACTGTAACAATTCAAGTCCTTCTGAAAGCAAGCTTATACAAATTAACAGTAAACTAATATGAGAAAAAAATCAAGAGATTCAATTACAGGATGTTTTAACTTTCCTAAACTTAAGAATTTAGGAATACTAGAATACTGTTGGAATTAAAATTATAGTAAACATTGTTTCTCTCCTTGATAATTTTACAACAGTATCTTTTTAGAGAAATATAAGAGAATGTGTTAGTCCAGAACCTCTGAGAAACAGAAGCCAAGACAGGCTGAACATGCATTTTATTAAAGGAAATTCCTGTGAAAGGGACAGGAAGCCTGGGGGACCTGACAGATCACAACACAAATCTGACTGGACAACAACAAGGAAGTCTCAAGGAACTCCCTGCTGTGTAGTCTAGGAGGGTTTCAGCAAGTTCACCTGGGAGTGCTCCAGTCAGCTATCTCTTAGAGGAGTGTTCCAAGTCCCAGGGAGGAGGCAGTTCTAGTATCCTTGCTCCTCTGTGTCACTGGCTGGGAGCAGCCCCAGGGACAGATCCAAAGCTCAGAAGCAGCAGTGCACTTCAGAGCATAACCATTGGTATCTTTGGTCACTTAAGCTTCCTACAGTTGGAGGTCTAAGAGGTACAATCTGAAGGTTAATACAGAGAATAAAATTTTAAAGCAAGTCAGAGATTGGCCTCTTTTCCTTGACTATTATGAAGGATTTCCCACTGTGTATGTTAGTAAAAATAGTCCAGCTCCAAAGGTCTTTCATTATAATAAGAAAGTAGCTGCATAACAAAGAAGGGATACGTGACTGTATGACCAATATGATTTTACAACCTGTACACTCAGAAAAATGAGAAATTATACCCCATCTGATTCAAATGTATGATATGTCAAGATCATTGTACTGTCATGTGTAACTAATTAAAACAAATAAAAAAAATAAAATGCAGCACAAAAAAAAAAAAAAGAAAAAAGGGAATTGAAGAGTTTTGTTGCTAATTTTGGATTTGCCATTTGATGATCTAGCTGGGTTCTTATTTTTTCTATTAGGTTCATAAACTATAATGCAAATGAGCAGTTTTTAAGACACTTTTATTTTTTCCACAATCATCCAAAAAAACACAATATCCAATGTTTATTAATCAAAACAAATGTAAAATAAGACACAGTATCACATATATATATATATAGTAGATGGATATATACATGTTGTGTATATGTGTATACACACACACACACATATATGTTGTAGATGGACACAATACCTTTATTTGTTTATTTTTATGTAGTGCTGGGGATCAAACCCAGTGCCTCATGCATGTTAGACAAATGCTGTACCATTGAGCCACAACCTCAGCCCAAGACACATTATCACATTTTTTAATTATTTTTTTTTAATTTATGACACATTATCACATTTGCAAAAGGTTTTTCTTCATGGAGTTTTTCATATTTATTCTAACAATTCAGGTTGTTTCAGTTTAGGTTTCACTATATTTTATCATTGCACTTTCCTTTTAATTAAAACTTTAAATATTTGTTATTTATTTTTTAAAATCCATAGTAAAATATTTACTCAAACACAATTTAAATCTCTAAAATAAGTAAAATTATAAAATGGAAAAAATGATGATGCATTTGAAAAACCAATATAGCAAATGAAAACTTGGTAATGCCATCTCCCCAAGTAGCCTTGCCACCAAACTTGTTGATCACTGTGAGAGGGACAGGGAAGCCTGGGGGATCTGAGGGATCACAATGCAAATCTGACTGAAGAACAGCAAGGAAGTCTCAAGGAACTCCCTGCTGTGCAGTCCACAGAGGGTTTTTTCCTAAGTTAGGTGGCAGAATTTTGCACAACACACTATCCAGAAAAGGTTTTAATACAAAGAAAATAAATTAAGGAACAAAGCATCTTTATAGCAAACCAATGCTACTTTCTAAGAACAACTAGAAAAGTAGGTACTGAAGATGCTGGAGAGTTTCCAAGGCAGCCAAGGTAGGAGGCACCAAGATCCAGGAGTCAGGAAGCTCACTTCAGGGAGCCCATCTTTGTGTTGCTTTAACCCTGAGGACTCTAAGAAGCTGGCAGAGGGCTCCTGCCAGGAGATAGAGGAGCCAGCAGAACATCTAGCAATTTCACAGGGATAAGGTCACTAAACCCACACGTGGGCCTTTCAAAGCAGCCAAGATTTAAGAGCAAAGACTCTGGAGAAAAAGGGAGCATAGAATAGTGAACTCAAGCCAGCAAAGCTTTTTGTAATCTCACAGTGATGAGGAAAGAAAAGTTAAAGAGTTTAAACTAAATAAAGAGTTTAAACTAACCAAAGAGAAGACCCCTGGTAAACACTCTAACAGTTTGTTGTGGCTCCAAGAAACTCACCCCTTAGGAGCATGGGTAAACTAGAGGTAAACTAACCCTTACAAAGTCTGAAAAAGAATTTTGTGTTCACTCAATGCTTAGCCCCTGACCACACTGAGGTACTATTTCCCCATCCCACACCCCTGTGTCTCAAAAACTTCACAACCTTTCATTCCTAAAGACCAGCCTCCAGTCATAAACTACCAGACCAGATACACCCCCAAATAAGACCAAGAGGGAAAAGGAAAAAAAAAAAAAAAAGAACAGGCAATAGAAAGAGTCCTGTGAATACCTATATCTATCCAACAAAGGCTTTAGAATAACAATGATAGGTGTAGAAAACACATGTCAGAATGGAGAATTTCACTAGGAAGCCAGAATCCATTTTCTAAAGAAAGTGGAAATTCTAAAAATAACTGCCAATGTATCATTCTGTTACTAGCAAAAATATCCTTCAAAAACTAAAGATGAAATAAAGTCATTTCTAGATAAAACAGAATCTAAGAAAATTCATAACCAATGTACCTACATTAAAAGAAAGTCTAAAAGAGGTTCTATTTTTTTTAAAGATGTTTTTAGTTGTTAATGAACCTTTGTTTATTTATATGTGGTGCTGAGAATTGAACCCAGTACCTCACACATGCTAGGCAAGCACTCTACCACTGAGCCACAACCCCAGCCCCCCTCTAAAAGAGGTTCTAAAGGAAGAAAGAAAATGTCACCAGTTGATTACAAGAGTTGAAGAAATTAAGAATAATGGGAAAATAACTATGTGGGTAAATATAAATAAATAACGATTACACTAAATAACAATAATGTCTTATAAGGATATAAAATAAGTATAATTTGAATACATGTCAATAAGAATATAGAGGATGTGAGGCATTGACAATGTTATTCAACTTATGAAAGCAAAGAAAGTATCTTCTAGATCAGTTGTTAACCTGTTCTCCCATCATTAAACTCCAATGCACATCAGTGAACAAGCAGTTCCCAAAACAACAACAAATCAGAAATGTTCCCTGATACTTTTTTTTTCATGTTTAATTATGTTCTCTTTTATTGACAGTAAGTTTCTCAAGCACAGATCCTTGTAGAAAAGCCATTTAATAACCAGATCTGCATAAATCCAAATCCTAAGTATGCTGTTATTCTATTTTTAATTATATGTAGAAAAACATCATTATCTATGACTCCATGTGGCCATAAAATCATCAGTGAGCTGATTTTAGAGCTGATTAGATAGAGCAAAAGACAATATAGATTAAAATGTATGCTTTGATAATAAGCAAATTATGTAATTTCTCAAAAATAAGTCTAGGAATCAGTTCTACTCAACAATCAGTTCTATTCTGAACATATACTGATATTTCTAGAAATAACTGTACAATGGAATAATAAATTCTATTATTTTTTACACACACACAGGACCAACCTTGATTATTTAAGGATAAACTAAAATTACACACCAGAAATGGGATTTTTCAAGACCCAGCAGATTCAAGCCTTTCAAAACTGGGATACATAGCTTCATTTCCCCAGAAAATCAGTCTTATTCTGAAAGACAAAGACTTCTTTTGAGTTATGTTATAGCTTAGACATTTAGAATACACACTATTATAAAAAAAATTATCTTACTGCTGAACTCTCACTGGTCAAATTTTCTTTTCAAGTTTTTAGAAAGAAAGAGGGACCCCATGAATATGCTCACGGTGTTCTTTGATAAAAATATTAAGTATTACTTAAAAATTCAAAAATGGAAGCCAGTCCTGGTGGTGCATGCCTGTAGTCCCAGCTACCCAACAGTCTGAGGCAAGAGGAAAATCTGAACTCAGGAGTCTGAAGCCAGTCTAGGAAGCATGGCAAATCCCTGCCTATATCATACTTAAGCTGTTTGCCACTGATATGTTGTCTTCAACCAACTTTTCAAAAGCTCTGAGACTCCACCGGTCTTCATTGAGTGCTGTCCCGGAGCGAACGTTGAATGGGCGCCACATTAAAATAAATCTACCGGCTGAAAACTCTGCTTCCTCCAGCCAGGAACATAAAATGCGATAGAGCTGCGACCACTGCTGCCGGGACAAAATGGCCTCCCTGATACTTTTTATCCTCTCTTCTGTTACAATATCTTTCCTTCCTCTCCTACTCCTCACACTGGAAAGTACTTTTCAGAATATTTAATGAATCAGTAATAGGAAAGTCATTCAAATTTTAAGAAATAAATGATAACCTTGATCTTGACAACAACAATAATAATTTAACAATTTTTAGAGCACCTAGTAAGTGCCAGCTTCATTATATCATTATATGATTTTGTTCTCAAACTGATAATATAGATAATATCCCAATTTTACAGACATGAATAGTCAATTCAGAAAATTTGAATAATGGATTAAAGTTATACAACAAAATTCAAACCTTAGTGCTACAGATTTTAACAAAACCCAGGCTTTGTCCCATTAAATAGCACTACATGTAGAAAATTATGTAAAAGTCACTATTAAAGAGAGTATTGATTTAAGGGCCTAAACCAAAGATGAACCATATTAGTCACTCTCCCAAAAGACCAAGTTGTCAAGAAGTGGCCCCTTTGAAACTCTTTTCATTGTGGGCATTAATTGTTCTAATTTTGTCATAACATCAGGCAAAACAATATAAACAATTATTTTTTATCATAAAAGAAAAAAATAGAGAGCAGTGGTATTCTAAAATCCTTTGAATTCTAATTATGTGGTGCAGGGAGAACTTGCAACTCTAAACAGGAGTCAAATAAATCGGATAAATAAACACCAAAAGAAAAGATAGACAATAACTATTTCTAGGAGCTTTCAAAACTTTTAAGCTCTTGAGAATGACTTTTGGAGTTTGGACCTAGACTTTCACAACACCATCTCTCTACAAAGAAAAAGCTTTGATATTATATTGAAAAAGTAGCCAATTCCTTCATCTATAACCAGACTTACTCAACAAGATTTTTAAAAATGGCCCACTGCTGAAAAGGGAAGCTGAGAATCTACTGAACTCCACTGGAAACAATTCTTTAACTTTTCATTGAGATTTTTTAAATTTTATTTTCCTTTCTTTTTTTCTCTGTTTAATTATAACCTTAATGGTGCATGGATATCTCTACTGTTCTCTTTCACTCTTCCTTTAATTATTTATTTACTTCAGTCTTCTCTCCCATAATCATCACATCCTACATCACTTCTGTTCTCTCCCTGTCCACCATTCAAAACTATAAACACTTTTGCAAACTTACTCTTTTTTACATAGGCAATAACTGATCATATCATTTCTGTTTATTGTGACATTTAATATTGTAGATGTCATAGCAGGAGCTATTTGGTTTAATACTGTTTATTGCTTGCATTGGTTGTTATTATTTGTTTCCCCCAAATGGTGAAATACTGAAAACCTTCAGATACTGTATAAAACCACATGTTAGAAACTCTACTGCCTCAGATCCACACTATTAGATCGGTAGACACACAAAGAACATGACAAAACAAGGGAACAAATGACCCAAACAAACAAAACCAAGATGCTTCAATAAGAGAATCCATCAATACCATGGTGCAGGAAATGTCAGAGAAAGAGTTTAGAATGTATATAGTTAAGCTAATCTTCACGGTAAAGGACAGTGTGAGGAGTCAAATCAGATAGAAAATACAGGAAGTGGAAGATCTCTTCAATAAAGAGATAAAGATAAAAAATAAAAAATTCTCAAAATGAAGTAATTAGTAAACCAAATTAAAAATTCAATGGAAAGCATAACCCACAGCCTAGACTACTTTGAAGACAGAGTTTTAGGTAGTGAAGACAAAATATATAATCTTGAAAATAAAGTTGACTATAGAGAAAAGATGTTTTAGAGACCATGAACAGAACAAGAAATATATAAAGACCAATTTTAAGATTATTGGAATAGATGAAAGCTCAGAGATATAAACCAAAGGAATGTACAATCTTTTCAATGAAATAATAGCAGAATATCTCCCAAGCATAAAGAATGAAATGGAAAATCAGATACAGAAGGTTTGCTGGACCCCAAATAAATAAAATTCCAACAAACCCACACCAAGGTACATATTATTATGAAAATGCCTAATGTATAGAATAAGGAGAGAATTTTAAGGCTGCCAGAGAAAAACTACAGGTCATATTTAGAGGGAAACAAATCCAGATCACAGCAGATTTTCAACTCAGACCCTCAAAACTAGGAGTCTTTAGAATAATATATAACAAACTCTGAAGAAACATGGGTGCCAGCCAAGAATACTGTACCCAGCAAAATTAAGCTTCAGAATTGCTGAAATAAAAACCTTCCATGATAAACAAAATTTAAAAGAACTCACAACCAAAAAGTCTGCACTACAAAGCATATTCAATAAAATATTTCATGAAGAAATGAAAAATAAAAGTGAAAACCAGCAAAGGAAGGAAATATACTAGAAGAATAGTCAAGCAAAGGAGAAACTAATTCAAATTAAAAATCAGAAATAAAATGAGAGGGAATAAAAGTTGTTTATCAGTAATAATATTGACTATAAATGGCCCAAACTTATCAATCAAAAGATATAGAATGGCAGACTGGATTAAAAAAACAAGACCCAACAATATGCTGTCTCCAAGAGACACAACTCATAGGCTAAGACATCCACAGATTAAAAGTAAAAGAATGGGGGGAAAATATCAGTTACATAAATCTCATAATCAAGCAGGGGTTTCTATCCTCATATCAAATAAACTGGACTTCAAACCAAAGTTAATCAGAAGGAACAAAGGACATTTCACGCTGTCTTTGGGAATTACATCAACAAAACACAACAATCATAAATACTTGTGTTCCAAACAATGGAGCAATTACGTACATCAAACAATCCTTTCTCAATTCTAGAATCAAACAGACCACAACTTGATAATACTGGGTGACTTTAATACACCTCTCTCACCATTAGATAGACTCTCCAAACAAAAACTAAAGAAAGAAAGTATAAAACTAAAAAATTCAATAATTTAGACTTAACAGACATATATACTGAATACACTTTGTTCTCAATAGCACACAGATCCTTCTCTAAGACTATATCTTATGCCACAAAGCAACTCTTAGCAAATAGAAAAAGCAAACATAATACCTTGAATTCTACCAAATCATAATGGAATGAAAACAGAAATCAACATAAAATAAAAAATAGAAGCTACTCTAATATCTGGAGACTTAAGTAATATGCTATTGAGTAACCAGTGGATAAAGAAGAAATCAGGAATGAAATTTTAAAAAATACTTAGAGGTAAATGAGAATAGTGATGCAACATATCAAAATCTATGGGACACTATGAAGGCAGTACTAAGAGGAAAGTTCAGTGCATTGAACTCATTCATTAAAAGAATAAAAAGTCAACAAATAAATGACCTGACATTGCATCTCAAAGCCCTAGAAAAAGAACAACAAATCAAAACCCAAAGTAGAAGATAGGCATTAATTAAAATCAGAACTGAAATCAATGAAATTGAAACAAAAAATATTTATGAAACAAAAGTTGGTTCTTTGAAAAAATAAAGTTGATAAACCCTTAGCCAAGCTAGTGAAGAGAAAGGCAGACAACTCAAATTACTAAAATTCATAATGTAAAAGGAAATATCATGGCAGATACTATTAAAATACAGATGATAATCAGAAACTATTTTGAAAATTTATACTCTAGTAGAAAATCTTGAAGACATCAACACATTTGTAGAGACATATGACCTACTCAAATTCAATCAGGAGGACATAGAAAATTTAAATAGATCAATTTCAAGCAATGAAACTGAAGATTCCATCAAAAACCTAGCAACAAAGAAAAGCCCAGGAGGAGACAGATTCCCAGCCAAGTTCTAACAGACCTTCAAAAAAGAACTTACACAAATTTTCCTCAAATTATTCCATGCAATGGAAAGGAAAGCACCCTTCCAAACTCATTCTATGAAGCTAGTATCACCCTGATACCAAAGCCAAAGATATATTAAGGAAAGAAAACTTCAGCCCAATATCTATGATGGACATAGATGAAGAAATTCTTAATAAATACTGGCAAACCAAATTCAAAAACATTAAAAAGATAATGCACCATGATCAACTGGAGTTCATCCTAGGGATGCAAGTTTAGTTCACCATCAATAAACATAATTCAGTCCATTAACAGACTTTAAGACAAGCATCACATGATATCTCAGTAGATGCAGGAAAAGAATTTTACAAAATTCAGAATCCATTCATGCTCAAAACACTAGAAATGCCACATCATTCTAAATGGAGAAAAACTGACGGAATTCCCTCTAAAAACTGGAATAAGACAGGGATGCCCTCTTTCACCACTTCTATTTAACATAGTCCTTGAAATTATAGCCAGAACAATTTTTTTAGACATTAAAAAAACAAATTAAAGTGATATGAATAGGAAAAGAAGAGTTTAAGCTATCATTATTTGCCAACACCATGATTCTATATTTAAAAGACCCACACAACTCCACTAGAAAGCTTCTCCTCCCCTCTCTTACAGGGTTCCAGCTT